TCCCCGTCAGCCGCCCCGGGAGCTGGGTGACGGCGGGGGGAGCGGCTCGGGCGGCGCTTGGAGCGGGGAACTTGGGCGTGAGGAGGTGCCGAGGCTGTCCGGCCCCGCGTTGCCTCGCCAGGCCCCGGCGTGGTGTCGGGCCTGTGGGCTGCAGTGGCTTTTGCTGAGTTCTCAGGGCTGACGGGCAGCTCGGAGCAGGACCCGCACAGCTCAGCTCCCGGGGGGCCGCGCAGGCGGCTGGGACCAACAGAGCTGTGTAATAGCAGAGCTGGCTGTGTAGTCTCCTCTCAGGAGCTGTCTCCTTCCCCTCTCCTGCCATGTCGTATGCCCATGTCATGGGAAGCGTTGATGTTCCCAGGTTTAAATCCGGCAGTTAAATCTCATGCCCAGGAAATGGCAGAGAGAGTGAAGTCCCTCTGGTACCATGGAGGGTTTGAGACTGGTTCCTGCACTCGCTGTTGCATGCTTTTAGCCCTTTTGTTACGGGGCGTGATGCTCTCCTTTGTCTGAAGGCAGTGGCCTGAGTTCCTCCTTTGCACAGGACAGGAGCTCACTGCGCAGGAGGGTAAGAAACCCTCCACCTTGGTGGTTGTGTCAGCTGTGGTATTTCATTTATACCAAGTGATGTAGGCACATGTGGGAGGACCAGCAAATGGATGTCGCCATTCCCAGATGAGAGCCTTAATTTTGATGGTGATACTTGAGTTTCACTGTGAGCTGAAAAAATATTGATTTAAAGTGAAAATACAGTAAAAATAATCAGTTACAGTGGAAATATTTAATTACAGCAAAGCAGAACAGCTCCAACAGGAGGGGAGGAGTGCACTGCACACCCATATTCATGTCATAAATATTGTAGAGCATGGAAGTTAGGATTGTGGCTGGTAAAGGTTCACTTCTTTCAGGCAAAGGAATATAGCTAATATTAATCTTGGATTTCCTGTGTCCTGGATAGGCATTCCTCAGCCTGAGTGATTGAATTAGAGGCAGGAAATCCCTAGGTTTAGTAAAAAAAATAGCCCCCCTGCCATAATGCTGTGTGGTTATATCCAGCTTCCCAACATGCCAAAAGAAGGTATTATAAATACCTCATCCCTTAATGGGAAAAGGATGGGATGGGGGATAGGGCAGTGTGTGAAACTCCAGCTGTGAACTGACAGCTGAAGAAGAAACAACATGGAGACTAGAAATAAACTATAATGATAGTATTGTCGGTTTTGTCTGATTTTTCCAATTACAGTCTTTTCTATTTTTCATACCTGGATCTTCTGGAATTCAAATTTGAGATGCTTTACATCGTCTGCATGAAGTCTTGCTGCTCAAGATGCAAAAATGTAAAATGTAAAATGGTGTTAACTCTGTCAGGGTAAAGAACTAAGCTTTAGTAACTTCTATATGTGAGAGACAGCACCTACTTGAACTTAATTTGCCATTATATAAATTTCACTTTTGAGTACAATTGACACCCAGCCTATGTTTTAGAAAGTGATTTTTCAGTGTGTCTGGGCAAGGTTTGAAATAAGAGGAAAACTAAGCCTATGTGTTAGACCTGCTTTGAAATACTTGTGTGTGCTGTTGCTGAACTCTTTCCTTCGTTTTGGTAGTGGTGGAGGTAGTACTAAAAATAAAGAACTCCTTTGTTTTTACATAAAAGATAGATATTGCAATTCAGCATTGCAACAGACAGCTGGGTGAGCAGTCCTTCAAGAAAGCCCCCAAACATCTCTTGGTGGGAACCAGGAGCTGGCAAGCCAGTGTTCCCTCCTGTTTCCCTGAGGGTAGAAGGGAGGGAAGGTTTGATCTTTCTTCAGCATCCCTCTGCATAGGTACATGTTTTATTCAAAAACTTTAAAAAGTTATGTTAATACCAGAGTTGTTCTTAGCCAGACCTTCATTCTATAGTTATTTGAACCAATGACAAATACTCTGTAGGTTTCACAAGGTACGTGGTTTGGCCTGCTGGTCTCTAACAGTTGATTTACTGTGCTGAGGTTGTTGCCATTGGTGTAGTTCTAGCATCGCTTGTTATAACGAGATGTCTCCAGTCTTTCTGTTTAGAAGTTCTGATATTCTTCTCTGGAGCTTTTAGAAAATGTTAAATGAGGTTGCACTAACTGCAGAGGAGTATCTAACATAAACTGTATTGTGTAATCTTTTATACATTAGTGTGTCTCTGATGATAAATTTGTACATTTAAAAGATTTTGTTGTCCTATATTTACATTATTTAGGAGTTGAATTAGTTGTTATCTGAGTTACTGCTGGTGATTTTTTTCCTTGATTTGCTCAGCCTTACAACATCTTAAAGTCCATGCTATTTGAATGCTGACATTGGAGCACAGAACTACGGAGAAGTTCAGTCATTTCCTTCACTATTTGTAGGAATAAATCTTCCTCCTGAAGCATCAGAACATGATTCTTGTGAGCAGAGCAGTGTTACCTGGTGCCAGTGCAGCACTGACACTCTGGCTGCCCAGGCTATCCTGCTCCAAAAAAGCAAATAAGTACATAGCTGCTCCAAAAAAGCAAATAAGTACATGAATAAGTTTTTTTGACTTTACACGTACTAAAAATTGCAGCTGAAGTGGTTCCTGCTAAGTGCTTAGCTTTTATCAGTTCCCCAGAAGTACACTGTGTAGAAGACAATAGGGAGGCTCCTTTGCTTAGTATTAGATCAGAAGTTTTAATGTGTTCTATTAATTTTATATTTACTTGTGATTCTGACTACTCTAGATTTTAGTAAATTATTTCAGTAAGCTAAGTGCAACATGCAGAAAAAAACATTAGTTTAAAAATTAAAATAATTGTATTCAGTAGCACAAGACTAATATGACCCTAAGCTGAAAGCAGAAACAATATTGTGCATCAGTTCCTGAATTCCTGTCAATAAGAATTTAGTGCGTTAGCTCAGAAGAACAACATTTTTCTTAATTATTTTCAGATAACTTGCTGATATTCAAATGAATGGCTGAATCTTGTCAGTATCATTCTGATGTTTAAAAATAATGTTGTGTTCTGAGTCTGTGTTTATTAAATGTACTGCTTTCTCACTGAAAATGAGGAATTTTATAATCTGTCATCTGTTCTTCATTACAAAAAAACCTTCCAGTCGGGAAGTTCAAAAGATTAGGCAATGCTGCTTAGCCAAGTACATAGTAGTCATTGTCTCTGTTCCTGTTTTCCCTGTATTTGACAAAATTTCAAGCTGACCTAGCGCTTTTTTTCCCCCCCACCCCATTGCATTAGCCTAAATATGTTATGTTTTTGTTCTTTTATGTGGGACAGGAGTACCTGTAGGTTGTGTATGTTCTTAATGCACATAAACCATGTTAAGAAATGATCTTAGAAATGCATGCACTTTGATAGTAAAAATTGCTGAGAAGTGGTTCTTTGACCTGCAAGGCCATGTTCATTGTCCCGGTAGTCTGCAAAACCAAACTGACAAAATTTACTGACTCCCTATAACTGTGTGGTCCACAAGAAAGCACATGTGTTGGCAATGACATATTGTTTGAGACATTTGATTGTTACTGCTTTTTGTGAATTAGTGAAACTGAACTTTTTTTTAATTTTTTTTTTACATTCTTTGTTATTGGTACTGGACATTTTTAAAGTAGAATAGTTTTTACAAGGTGGTCCCATTAAAAGTGGAGGAAAAACCCCACTGAAGTATTACTTGAAGGAACACCAAAGAAAGACACAATTTTTTAACTCTTACGTGATTTCACTGTTACCCAAGTAGCTGAAGAGCTGAGAAAGAAGGCTACGGAATCACTGTCTGTTACCACTAGTATTCTGGGGGCATTGCCCTGTTCATAGGCAAGAGATATTATGTATGCAGTAGCTTAAGGCCCTTAAATTCAGATGGATACATAGAGTAAAAGAAAACAATGCTGTGCTGTATTGGCTATGCATCTATACTGGCTTCTGAGGTAACATTGCAGCAAGAGGTGACTTCACATTGCAGCAAGAGGTGACTCCAAGTAACTGAATACAAACCTTTCTCTGTTCTTGTTAGCTTCATCTCTCTGCTGTGAAACTGGCGGAGTTGCACAGTGATCTAAAAATACAAGAAAAGGATGAGCTAAGCTGGAAAAAACTGAAGGCTGAAGGGCTAGATGAAGATGGAGAGAAAGAAGCCAAACTTAGACGCAACTTAAATGGTAAGGTATATCTTTGCAGAAGGAGGTTAAACTTTGCATCAGACATGTGCGTGGTTAGATAGCTGTGTTTGAACCATTGAATACTAGGTTGTCTTTCCAGACACTGAGTACACGAGTTCTTTGCAGGTAACTAGGGAGCTGTGGAGGCTAACAAGTTCCTTTGCTCCTTCTTGTTTTCAGAAGAGGTCGTTAAACCTGGGACCTCTGTGTCTTAAACTGTTAGCTTTTCCACTGTGAGCTGCAAAATCTAGCTCTGCAAGTCAAGGATTTAAGCAATCTCTCATCTTCCATACATCTGTACTTGGTTCTAATGTTTCTGTATCTTCTATTCCCCTGAAGTCATTATGACTAAATATGGAATGAATGGAAAGAAGGACTCTCACCTAGTTGATACCAACTACATTAAAGATGGTACAGAAAGCGATACACTAGAGGATCCAAGACTGGAGAAATTATGGAGCAAGGTGAGTAAGATTTCCAGGAACCAGAGTGTAGGAAATCAGTGTTTCTTCGCTGAACTGTTTTCTGTGTCTTCTGAGAGCCCCCAGACTTGGAATTGAATAGCTTTACTACGCTGTCTTTAAGTACTGGCCAAGCTGCTGTGCTCTGTAGCTCACATCTTTGTGCCCTGAGGGCATCCCACCTGCATCCAGCTCAGCATATGTGGCAGGTTCTCTTTGCCAAATAAAGCACCCACATCAGTCTGCATGGAGGAGATAAGATCCTGGGTCCACTGAGGACAAACAGAGCTTTTCCTCAAATTTCACTGAATTCATGATTTTCCTTTTTGACTGTTAGGCTGTGTGGTAGTATACCTTTGTTGTTTTTCCTGTTTTTCGTGTTTCTGTTTCTGGTCTTTTTTTAAAAGATGCCTGTAAAATAGAACCATTTCATAGAGTGTTTAGAAGTTAAACGTGTGGTGGGGGATGTTAAATAACAATTTTCCCAACCTGCTATTCAAGTGAAATTTTCCAGGATTTGCATTAATGCATAAAAAAATAGAAAGTGTACTGTCAGTCTGGACAGTTAAAACTGGTGAGGTCATAATCATCAAAAATTAACTGATTCAGATTTTAAGAAACAGGTAGTCAAGTAAGGCAAAGAATTCTTGCAGCAGTCTAGTGCAGTGGTAGGAAAGCAGAGAAAAATA